AACCTCATGTCTTTCCTGCCTTTGCACGTGGGCCTGCGATGCAAGATGACCAAAAAAGTTATGGCGCCTGAGTTGGTGCAGGAGTGTCCCTGCGAGGTTCTGAAGATCAACTTTCATCCGCAGGAGCGCTTCGGCGTACCAGGCTGCCCGGCGGGCTTATCGCAGCCGCCTCCGAACCATCCGGCCTGGGAGACGGGCTGGCTGGTGTTGGACTACCTCCCGCAGTCCATCACTCTTCGCATTGAAGAGTCAGAGGAGGCGCGTGTGGTTTCCCCCTGAACGCTAAACATTCAACCCTTAACCTCGAACCCTTAACTCTAACTCCTAAACCAGCAGCGTCTCCTGGTAAGGATTACACTGGCCAGGGTCTTCGTGGCTTCGTGGTGTTTGGCATTTGGAGCCAGTCAGCGATGACTTCAGCATGACCGTGCGGCGGGGAGGTCAGTTTAGTGTCACCGTGACGCGGGTGCAATTTGGCTTGGCGCCCAGCAAAGCAGGCACTTACAACAATGCGCAGGGGAAGACAATTCGTGAGGCGGATGGCACTCCTCTGGGTCATTGCATTGACTTCAGCAAACCGGACTATTTCACTGATGAGGAATACACGCAGCATGTCTACATGATCTTGGGAAGGGCTCGCTCCATGCAATGGAGCCTGTTTCGAAACTTGCCCACCACGGCTGACGGGGACGTTGATTTCGCTGTTTTCGAAAATGGCCCGCCTTTGTACATTTCTCAATTTTTGCGTGAGCTGGAGGCCGGTCACGCGTGGCATCATGTGATACATCACATAGGATGGTGTTTTGTGCGACATGCATGGGTACGGACATGCACGCAAGGAGATGGGAACATGTTGTATGAATATTAATGAGTTGTCAGTAAATGCTTGCAGGCATGCGCTCGCTCTTCGCGGGCGTCCGTGGAACGATGTCGCAAGTTGCTGCGTGAGTTTCCTCGATCAGATGTTCTTCCACGACCCAAGATGCGAACGGATAAAGGTGAGTTCGTATACGAGCATGATGCGTGGGCAGAGGCTCTGCGGCGGTCCCTGCCGGAAAATGCAGAGGGAGCGTCCTCGTGTGCTGAAGGCAGCGACCTCGCGCGCGGATCCGTCCCTGCAAAATCCGCAGGCGTTGGAGGCCTCGATTCCGCGTCCGCGTCTCTCGCGCATGCCCGCAAGAAGCGCGGTCGCGATGATGAATTGTTCAGCGATACAGATTTCTTGGCGCGTTTGGATTTGAAGGCATGCATGAGTTCGTTGGATGCGGCGACCGCAAAATACTGTCGTCGACAGCTTCGATGTCGTCCACTTGTCGCAGACGCAGGCAGGGGCCGGGAAGGGAAGGGTCGGGCGTGTGTGTATATGTCTGGAGCGCGTGTAGCGTGCCGCAAGTATTATGCATCGTAGCATCCATCCACATGTATGATTGACTTCGCTCTGTATGACTCTGTATGGAGTTGCTACGCGCGAGGTGGCGGCGGTGATTGTTTCTTTCTGGCAACAGCGTCCGTGCTGCAAATCGCTGTGCGCGACAGAGAGATCTTTGGCACGCGCTTGAGTGACAGAACATCGGGCCGGGTGGGCTTGGATGTTGTCTCTCGTAGGGGCTTTGCTGCCATGCTTCGAAGCGTCGTGGCAGAAGAAGTGCGTAATTGGCCTGCCACGGAATTGCTGCAATTTTTGGTGAATTGTCTTCAGCGCGAGGCTTCCGGAAGATGGCATGACAGGTGGAGCGCCGCAGCGTACTTGGAAGCGTCGCCGTTTGGTTTTCTGCTAGAGTGCAACGATCTGATGGATGTGACAACAATCGCTTCTGGTGTGGATGTGCAGTACAAGAGGCTAGACGAGACGGACATTACGGCGGAGTACGTTCCGGCTGGTGTGCTTGCTCTGTCAAATTTGCGGGTGTCGATCGCTCGGCATTTGGAATGTATGGGTGATGTGCATTGGGGCGAACATCTGGATGTCGAGGTTCTGGAGGAGAGATTGAACATAGGCTTTTGTCTGTTTGGTCAACGAGCTTATGGTCTGGACGGAAATGTCTTATACCGGTATCCACGGACTGTCACAGAGCCAGACATCTGGATCATGCTGCACTACATTCAAGATCAGCACTTCCAGGTCATGTTCTTGGAAAGGAACGACGCTCCCAGGTGCTACTACACAGATGCAGAGCTACCTGCTGCGTTGCGTGAAGGCCTACGACTTGGGTGAATCCTTGACCCTCTGTCCAGGCCAGGGTCGCACACACATGCTTAGGTTTGGGGCTGTTGTGGTTTAGGCACTCTGCTCTTGGCCCGCAATGGAACTGGACGGATGCTATGATCAGGGAACGCTCTCGCTCTAGATCCGATACGACGGTTTCACCAGCTGGCTCCCCACTACTACGCTGACGGTAGTGCAGTCCATTTGATAAAAAGAGGTCCTCAGTCTGGGTGCAGAACTGTTGAGATTCGAGTCCTCCTTACCTTTGTGATGCTTGCTTTCGCAGTTGGTCTTTTCTTTGTGTGCGTGTTTCGGACCACAGGCATCTGTACTATTAAACGCCTTTTCCATTTCGTGTACCCGAATTTGTTGGAAGCCATGGATTCGAGTATGTTCCGTGCCGTCGGAGCAGCAGACGGACATGTACAGGATTCGCCGAGCAGTACGCAGGTTCGCACAGAAGCTGACACGTATGAGGGTATTGCGGAAAACAGTGCTACTGCGCATGTGACCCCGGTCACATACTCTCAGCCTGAGTTGCTGATTCGCACCTTTCAGGGTCAGCTTGATGCCATGATGGTGGAGCATGAAAAGCTGCGTCAACAGCTTTCAACACTTACCAATATGCTTCAGACTTGGCAACTTGAACAACGGCGGATCGTCACTCTTCTTCGTCGAATCCAAGAAGTTATGGACCCTGAGTTTGCTCCCGGTGAACCACTTCATGGACTACGAATTCCGTAGCACGCCGGAACCAGTCACAATGCCTTGAACGGGAATAAAAATGAGTGTATGCCGTGCGTGCCTGTGACCGTAGTGATTCTTGTAAGCCGCTCTGACTTGCTTTTTATGTACAGCGACCCTTGCTCACTGAAGCCTAGCCAACACTGGCACTCCAGCTGCAGCGGGGACCTAGCAGCAAACGGAAAAGCCTGCATGCATTTGCATGCACTGCACGACTTCTTTTAAGCTCTCTTCCTCTGCAAGACTGATTGAGGTCTATGTTCGCGGCCAACTGGCAGCAACCATTCTTAGCATTCCCTGCCATGAAGGCCAAGGCCGCCGAGATTAAACACTGCCTGAGGCCATTGCTCGAGGTGTGGAGGTTGGTGTGCTGCTAGCAGTAATATTTTCTGGATGATTGCTATGCGATGGCTCAGCCTTTGGCTTTAGTTTTGTTTAGCTTGCCTAGCTGCCCGGATCGCTGCATGCAATGAACAGCACGGACGTGGAGATGCCTTTTATGAGCGAGGATGACTCGAGTCCGAGATACTCGTCGAGATCATGGGATAGCTCATGGCAGCAGTGGCAGTGGTGGGAGTCGGATAACTCCGACACAAGATGGGACCCGCCGGAATACTCCAATTACTGGGCAGGCTACACCCGTTTCGAAGTGCATCGCTGGTACGTGAAACGTGCCCGTTTCTAGGTTTTACCATAGTATATGTTTTTTCTTTGTTTTGTTGTGTATTAGCTTATATATATATATATAATCTTTCGATAGTTGTTATATTCAAATGTGCAGGATGGCACCTACGCCGGCTGAAACGGACCTTTTGTTCGAAAGTCAAACTTCGCAAGATCTCAACGAAGTTTCGTCCTGTACAGTAATTTGCACGATGGTGCTAGGAATTGGGTATACCCGGAATAGCTAGGTCGGAGTCCTTCAGGCAAGACTGCCTGCATGTGCCTGGTCCAGTCGAAAATCGTTCGTTTGTGAATGCGTGTTTCCCATGTCAGCTTAGTAGCACGTCATGTTGGAGGAGCTGTGCCGCAGGATGCTTGCATCTCTGACCTGTATTCTAACTGCGTCCGCCAGAAGTGTCGAATGTTTGCTGCTCCTGGCCGTGTATGTACGTTTGAGGCTCAAGCTCTATGCAAAGCATCGTGCATTGGCTGTCCGCCGCAGTGGGAGAGAACGCAGGAGGCTGCGACCCCGCGCCAGTGGGAGAGAGCGCAGGTGGCTTCGACCCCGCGTCCTCTGCCAGAAGGGTGGACATGAGCTTCAAACAGCAAGAGGCGCGCGTAGCAGCGCCTTCCAGGTGCCGGCTATTATCGTGGATTGCCGTGTGAAGAAAGTTATATAATTAAGCTCATCCAAAGTCGCAGAGTCC